AGTATGGGATGCATAAACCGGACGATATTCTCAATGAATCCTTTCGCACACCTGGAAATCATGGTGCAAAACTATGTTGACCTAGCTATTAGGTCCATATTCAGGTCTGGGTTGCAAGGGTGAGAAATTTGTAAAAAGACACAACAATGTTTTTCAAGTATGACGGCAGTTCTTGAAAATCTCCTTTACTGTGTCTTTTTTAAATCAGCTAGTATTCATTTCGGATGTTTTAATCCTGTAATACTGGAGGGGCTACATTTCTTTACTTCTATTTGTGTTCACTAAATGCTTGACATTAGCATCTCTTCTTATTATTACAATTACACTATCACTAGGATACTTGAAAACTCAAGAAATCTAACAAAACTGTGTGGGAAATTTCAGAAGCGAGCCATCATTACCAAAATTGCTAATACCAGCTATGCCCTCCCTTCAGTCATGAATGTTTTGGAGGCACCCATAATGCCTTCACTGTCCTCATGCTAAACGTCACTGCCCTTGCACTCTACTTTCACACAGCCATCTAACCTTGCATTTCCTGTAATATGCCTGTTACTCCAGACACTCCTGGGACCCCAAAAACTTCACAGTAAGAACCAAAAAACCTTCCTAACCTTCCAGACCCAAATCCAATCACCGTATTTCACTTTCGGAGGCAAACTTGCTCTTCACACTGCATTAGTCGCACCCTCTTTTCTTAATTTCCGATGTTATTCTCTGCCTGCACAGATTATTTTAAATATCAGTAAGTGTAGTTTTTCCCCTTTACTATGATAGTATTATTAAATTTTACTGTGAATATATACCAAAGTATTTCACATTTACCTCGTCTCATAGGGCATTGGTACGCCGACACTATACCACATCATCAAGCGAGGAAGCAGCCCAGTCTATACCTTGCCAGAATATATATACGGGGTGGTGGTTCATTTGGCCATCACCAGACTGCATGTCATGGGGGCTGTTGCAATCGCTCGACAATGCAAGACCGTTGGGGATAGACTTATAAGGTCAAGGTCAAGTTCGTGGACTTATAAGGTCAAGTTCGTGGTGGATTCGGATACAACCCAGGGAACAAAATCACGAGAAATAGGCCCCATTTCGAAACCCAGGGTGGCAGACTGATACTATTCCAAATTATCTTAAAATTCCACGTCACCATAATATGTTTTAAGTTTTGATAAAAGAGACAGAAAGAGAGAAAAAGAGAGAATGCCGGATTACTTAGACTCTGACAAATGACTGAAAATCCCACGATGTTGCAACTTATCAAACTTAAACCTTCAGATAATTCAACACAAATACACTCCACATCTTCAAAAAAAAAAACAAAGCAACAATTACAACTTTATTAGATCAAAAATAGACTTCCAACCCTATACGATATTTCGTATTCATATATCCTTATAAGCGCATGCAATTTTTAAAATTTTATGACTAGACAAGCGTTCATATTTGCAAAGACTTACAAAAAATGGCATTACAGGCTTACTCAGCTTTAATTTACTCACACATTTCACTAAATTTACACGTTCCTCGCCTCCAGCTCTTACGAAAACAATCCGGCCGTCTACTGCTATATTTACCAGGGACCCCGCGTGTAAACAAAACAATGGAGTTTACTTACATATGTGTAATGTTTGTCTTTTGTTAAATACAGTGAGACTTGTTATTATTTTTTTAATGTGGTAATGGTATAAAAGAAAAGAAATGTGAGATATATTTTATGAGTTTGTGTTTATACGTACTATCCTCTTTAAATTTTCAGAATCAAAAATATGTGTATTTTCATTATCACCATTAACAGTGAAATTTTGTGTAGAGATTAAAATGAATGGTTGTATAGAACGACATACATGCGATTATGCATGTTTGTCAACTTACCTATCTGTATAGATCTATACCTAGAGCTATATACACATAAGCACATACACACACACACATACACACACACACACACACACACACACACACACACACACACACACACACACACACACACACACACACACACACACACACACACACACACACACACACACACACACACACATACACACAGAGTTATATATATATATATATATATATATATATATATATACATACATACATACATGCATACATATATATATATATATATATATATATATATATATATATATATACATATATATATATATATATATATATATATATATATATATATATATATATATATATATATATATATATATATATATATATACTGCCGCGATAGCTCAGTGGTTAGAGCACTGGACTCTGACCCTCGTGGTCCCGGGTTCAATTCCCCGTCGCGGCAGTCGTAAAAATGCCTGTGCTTTGACTGCTTGCTCAAGTCCAGAAGTCACCGCCGTGGTACAAGTGCTAACGCGCCGAACCACGGTTGATTAGGAAGGGCATTCAATCAAGCAAAGGTGAAATCGCCATATAACCTCTCAATACTGAATTGAGAGAGGCCTATGTCTGGAATGAATGGCTGTTGAAAAAAAAAAAAAAAAAAAAATATATATATATGCATACACACACACACACACACATATATATATATATATATATATATATATATATATATATATATATATATATATATATATATATATATACATATATATGTGTGTGTGTGTGTGTGTATAAGTGTATGAACATATACACACATCAGTAAACATATCTATAAACATATGAGTGTACATATATTAAAACATAAATATATAGAGATATGTTTCTAAATAGATATGCATGTATACATATTCATATACAATATATATACATATACATACATACATACATATATATATGTATGTATATGTATGTGTATACATACAATACATATACACATACCTATAGATATGTGTGTGCGTGTTTATGTCTATATGTATATATACATATATGTGTGTGTGTGTGTGTGTGTGTGTGTGTGTGTGTGTGTGTGTGTGTGTGTGTGTGTGTGTGTGTGTGTGTGTGTGTGTGTGTGTGTGTGTGTGTGTGTGTGTGTGTGTGTGTGTGTGTGTGTGTGTGTGTGTGTGTGTGCGCGCGCGCGCTTTTGCGTGCGTGAGTGTAGTCTCTATGAGCTTTCGGATCAGTGCGCATGTAGATCTTGCGTGCGTGTGTGCATGTGTTTGTGGCTGCATGAATGAGTATAAGTGTATATATTCAGAATCCATAGAAAACCAGAAAGAACTGGAATTTTCAAATCTCTTCAGAATGCTGACGTCACAGCGGACACACAACCTCATCTTTTCCCTACAAATGATAACTACACCTAACTGAAATAGGAATCAAAAATTCCATTTCCCTCCAAAACTCCAAACCAACACTCTTAAGACCTTTTTTTCCCCGAGTAAAAAAGAAATACGACACTCCATATTTGCCAACTTCTCCGGAAATTACGTCACAAAACGCAACGCTCTGGAGGTGAAGTGTAAATAAACGTCAGTGTGAACTCAGGCGGCGAAGAGAGAGGGTGTCTGTTGCTGTCTCGTCTTGTTCTCACCCCTTGTTATGTCTGACAGCTGTTCTCTTCGCTTCTGTTGAAAATAACATTAGGCCAAAATGAGACGAGCTTACAACGGTATGGGAATGTCGAATGCCTCGATTTTTCGTCGAAAGGGGGAAGATTTAGGTGGATAAATTGGGTGAATTATTGATAATAACTTCCCTGACGAGTGATGTTCGTGTGACATTATTTTTGAAGATCGGGATGATAAGGAAATTCGAAGGGATGTGATTTTAGTCGTGTTTGTGTGTGTCGTTTTTTTTCGGGATGGTGTGTGTCGGAAGGTTATTAAGAGTTATTAGGGGCAATAAGGTCGTTGATTTAAACTTTAAATAAACTTATTGAAGACAAGTGTCAAGGAAGTTTTTGGTCATGGGAGGAACATTCGAGAGGTGTACCTTTTAATTACCATTTTTTAAAGTTATTTTCTTAATGGCATAGACCTTTAGTATGTATCTTATTTATTGTGTTTTGTCTTTATCTTGACGTGGGAATTATTGCATCATATCCGGGTAGATACTTCAGAATTTAGTTAGTATAGATAAATACAAGTAATTCATTTTAAAAAATTTGAATTGGAAATTCTTACTGAATGGTCTGTTTTTTCCCCCTGTTAATGATATTGGTAATGATGGGTTCCTTATGATGTTTACTATCCCCTTAGTAGGATTATTTTTCATTGTTGACTAACTATCATGATGTGTAGTAGCTATAAAAGGGGATCACATGGTATATATCAGGGAAATTGTACTCTAAATGTATAGCAATAACAATAAAGTAAAGCTAATACCATGCACATGATAACACATGTGATTTATGTAGTGGTTACCCCCACCTAAAACCCCTCTTGCAGAAGGTTATATCAGGGTTTCTTGAGAGCAGGTGGGGCGTGAACCCTTAGCTGCTGCATTACCAAACATTTGCCGTTGCATCCATGCCTATGTCACTCTGGCAGGGGCATGCAAACCTCTAGCATACTTATACAATGTGGAAAAATAGAGCTTGGACTGATTCATTATTTGTCTAGCAGGTCTCAAAGATCTTCCTTGCTACAATAAGCTTTACACACTAGAGGTCTGCCGATCCTCTGTCCGAATGCCAAGAGCACAGAGGCCTCAGTCATTGTTTGATGGTGTGCCACTCTAATTATGGCCGGTATCATTGCTATAGTTGGTCAGCTTTGTCTGAAACTATTATGGTCAGTAAACATTATGAAAATTCCTTTGATGCAAGAATTTTCAGTAAGAGTGACATAGACCTTTATTAAGGTCTACTGTTTGAATGATGTCCATTGGATTCATCTAGGCTATACTTATTATATACCTCTCTGTGGCACTAATATGACTTGAAATGACCATACCTTTTCCCATAAAAAAAATGTAAGAGTTTTTAAAAATATGTAAATCTTAAATTGAAATGTAAGGCATGGGAGGACATTTGTTTCTTATGTACTGTAGTCAATTCAACAGGTGCTGATTCAGTGTCA